GAAAAAACACTGAAGAGCTTAATTGATAAACTTAATCGTTAGCTTTATAATATCAAGTGAGGCTCGTGATTTATGAACAAACTTAAAAATAATGTTCGTATTTTATCTTGTATATTGGTCAATTGTTTTGACAATTTTGACCATTATATTATAAAATTATATAATATAAGTGTATAATATATAATATAAATAATTATATATTATATTATAATAATTATATAATATAAATTATATAATAATATATATTAATTATATATATTATCAATTGCCAATTATAAGATGTGCCTTCAGACAGGATACTATCGGTAACGCAGAGAGTGACATTACGGTGGTAAGCCATTTTTTACAAAATTTTTTATTTTAACTAAAAGTAACCAAAAATTCTTTTCGCAAACATTGCTTATATTTAAACAGTACCTGTTTTTAAAATTGCAGCGAAATCGAAATATAGAACCTAAAATGGTAAGAAATGGTAAGACAGAATGGTAATTTTTCGCAAAATTTTAGCTTTAAACTTCGAATTGTGGAAAATCATTCTGGCAAACATTGTTTTTAAGTAAAAAAAAAAGTTTCGCAAATATTTTTTCTAAATGTAATATTTAGAAATTTCTGATCTCAAGTACGAAAGATATAAAGTTAGATGGGATATCCTGGACATGTTGGAGTTAACTAACTAACGTAATTTTTCTAATCAATCATAAAGGTTTCCTTAAAGCTATATTTAGAAGGTAACAAATTTACCAAAAATAATGAGGACAATAGAATTTTTAGTTGAAAATGTTAACATAGACAAAGAGTATGAGTTTCATCTTGATCAAATACTAGAGCTTTGCCATTTACCACCTTTATTAGAAAAATCTTCTGAAATTCTAACAAACAATGATATACTGGAACAATATTTCACATTGTTAGGAAAGCTTCTTGTTGTTTTGCCAACCAAGAAACATATATTGAAGGTTCACGAAGCCATCCATTCTTTGTTATTAAACAGAGACAGTTCAAATATAGCAGCAGTGAAGATTAGAGATTGCCGTGCAGTTATAGAAAAATCACAGCTTCCAGTTGAAGTAGTTAAGTCATTAGAAAATTGTCTTCCGGAGTTGTATCAAAAGATTTTGGAATTGGTTTTCTTGCTTTGTTCCATTTCGTACAAATGCTGTGAGTAATAAAAATGCAATGTATAATTAGAAAAATAAAAATTCCCTAAAATATATATTGTAGCTCACAAAATGTTAGAAGTTGGAGTACTTAATATAATACTGGTCAGAATGGATCTTCCTTATGCTACTCAATTACGGTGCACAAGGCCACCTGACTCATTACTAATAGGTAGTGAATACCCTGAGGATACAACCCTTTTAATAATGAACACTTTATGGTGTCTAATGAAGTCCATTCTTCCTCCTATTGATGTGCCCATCAAATTGAAGACAACTTCGTGTGCACACTGCGCATTATGGTATGCAATGTACAACTTAATGATGAATCAGTAATTTATACTTAATCCAAATTATACAGGGGTTTGTCCTACGCATTCGAGAGACAAATATTCTACAGCCAATTTCGAAGCGTCAGCAAAAAGATCAGAAATGAAATTGCAGCTATTATTCTTTCAATTTTAATTAGCTTTCCTAATTGGAATTTTGTTAGTAGTGGTATAGCAGACAAAGTGATCAGGTTTTTGGTAGGTGTTGAGACTGGCTCTGTAAGAGTATTTTCAGAGACAGTAACATTTGGCAGAACTAATGAGGACTTGTTCTTCCAAAAAGTCTTATTGCTAATTGTTATGCACCTATCTCAAATTGATGCATGTATCCCAGTAATTATTTTATTGGTTTTTACTATTATTGGATTATGGAGAATATTCTTATTTTTGGTACTTGTTTCGAACAGATAATGGTGCACAGAAAATTGATGCAAACAATACTTCAACTGGTTAATCCAGATACTGAAGACTCAAAAATTACTTGGACTGCATCTCAATTTTGGAACCTATGGACTTATGCTATTAATTCTCTGTCTGTGCTGGCACCAAAGATGCCAAAAGATTTTGTAACATACAATGGTACTATTAGGTACTAAAAATTTAATAAGCAACACTTAAAAATATTAACTGTTCATTTAAAACAGTTTTATACTCGTGTAGATTGTTAATGCTGTTAGACTGGACTTTGACCATAAGGTTTGACATGGATATTGTAATGCATTGCACAAAAGTGATTTGTTCAATCACTTTAAGTAACAGTACTTTGTTATTGGAGAACCTCAAAGAGCATGGGATTACAGTTTCATTGATCAGTTAGGTTAAAATTGGGTTAAAACTCATAAATTGGTACTTCCATTTATTATTATTGAAATATAATAATTTTATATAAACATATTATAGAATTGATTAATCATATTTTAACATCTTGTAAACTTGCAACGAAAGAACAAAGAATTCTGACACTGGTGTTAATCTCAATCGAAAGACTTTTACAGAAACAAATCTATTATCAAGAAATGTTTGGAGATCAAAGTATTGCATTTGTTATGGAACTACTTTTTCGATGTCTTTATCAGAAAGATGAAGAAATTCAAGTAGATCAACGGTGAGTTTGTTTCTACATAGTTCACTTGTTACAGTTGTACAATGTTCTTATGAATTAGTATGGTGTAAAGAGATCTGGTAGCCTTTTACTAGCATTAGGTTCATACATTTGGGAGTGTATAGTATGGTGTCCCCCAAACTTGGAAAAGTTTATTGAATATGGCGCAGTATACGTTATACTGGACATTATTGAAGTAGTTCCATACCCATCTCAGCGCATGTTTCTCACTGTACTAGCCGATATGTGTGACAATTATTTTTGCGGATCTTATTTATGCACTTGGAGAGGCATTAATAAGAAAACGACACTAATGTCTCTGTTGGCAAAAATATGGAGAGATGAAGAAATCAGGCTTGAATTTAAAAGATGCTGTGATGGTTCAGTGAGAGGCAAATTGCAAATATAATTTTCTGTTAATAAAATTGGGTGTATCTTGTAATTAGAAAATAATTTATTGTATATCAGATGAAGAATTCCCTTCAATGGGCAAGAAACAGTGGTTGGACACTTTTCAGACTAAACTTTTTGGACACGTGAGCCCAGCAATAATTGACATGATCGGTTCAGTCAGAGCAAAGATATATAGTATTAGAAAAATCATTGAGAGAGACAATGAGAGATATAAAATGGCAAAACAGCATTATAAAATATTATATTTTGATCTCCCAGTGGAAGATCGAGTGAGTGTATGGAATGTTTGTTGTGGCATCCGTGTAGTATAATTAAAACCATTTTTCAGATCACAGTATCTGGCATAGATTTGTACTTCAAGTTGAAGTTAGGTCAAACATGGGTAGAGCTCAACAAGTATTTTGAACAGATAGGCATTACACCGCTTGGTATGGATGGCCAGGCAATATTCCTGATGACGCAAAGATACTATTTATGGGGAATTTTACTAAAAGAAAAGCAAAAGAATATAATACAGGATATAAAAAGAGAAGAGGACATAGACGAAAAAGATGAATATGCTAGGATTCGAGATTCTAAGCTTATTTTGTCATTGAACGCACTTGATGAATTAGATTACATATACAGAACAACAGATAGAGAATACATGATAAAGAAAAAGATTGAACAAATACAACAAGTTTATTCGACCCTGAATTTTCCACGCAAAGGAAACGAACAGAATCATAGGACGTTCATGGCTACAGTCAACTTCACAGTAAATATACCTAAAACAAGGGTGAAACTTTTAAAAACTAGTCACACCTGATTTGACTAAAGATTTTCAAATAGCTTCATTTTACATAAAAACAATGTTTGCCAAAAGAGTGACACCAAAATGGTAAAAAAGTTCTTTGCAAAAATTTGGGAATTAAACGGAAAATCTTTCTAGCAAATATTGTTTTTATATAAAATGAAGCTACTTGCAAAATTTCAGCAAAATTTGGTGTGTGACCGATTTTCGAAAGATTCGCTAATATGAGTAAAAAATGATTAAAAATATTGATGTTATTTACAAATTATTATACATTTTCTACAGACAATATTCGATCAAAATGTGGTATTTAGTAATCTAACAGCAGATTCAGATTTCGGTCAAATAAAAGTTCTGCCCGTTTCGCCATGCGAGTCGCATATCTTGGAGGAAACAATATTTTCCGGAATGTCGTGCTCATCTTTGACAAGCTATGATTTCTCTAAATTAGAACAATTTGAAGAAGAAGCGTAGTTCACATAATTACAAATTCATACTTTATCGTTTCTCGAATATACAGGAACCTTTATTACCAACGAAAATAAAAAGCGTAATTACTTATAAATCTTGTCTCATTGACGTGCCTTTTACATTGTATTAGTAATTTATTATCGACACTAACAATACTTATCGACAACTGTAGATCAAAATCCATCAAAGTAAAAAGTGGAAGTGATCTTCAATGGTTTTCGAAGGATTTGATTTAAATATATTAACCTAATATTAAACCAATAAATATTAGTTGCATGATATTAATTTTGCGGATTACAAAATATTTAATTAATCGTACACCCCTGAAGGATATCGAGCCTGAAGGTAGATAAAAAATTGGTTCCGGGTCATAATCTTTTCTACTACGTTACAAATGGGATTTTCTTTTTATAATGAACATCATGTGCTCATTATACTTCTTATTATTCTAAAAAAGTTTTATTCTTCCAGTATACATATGTATATTACATTTAATTTACAGACTGCGTATATTACAGTCGCTATAATACGGCCTGAAAAACATCTCACAACAAAAATCGTGCGGTATACATTTTTTTTTACTACCCCCCTAGTTTCCAGATGATTTCCTTAAAATAAATGAGAAATTTTAAACAAAACATTACATTGCTTTAGCTTGTTAAGAGGCCAGGCTAGTCACGTGACTTTGCGGATTCAGCAGGTCGGTATCTGCTGTACAGATTTCATTATAGAAATGGTATTATCTAGAGATATGTAACTTCTTGATAAATACGAGATGGAGCCACCTGTGTTTTCCATCAGGAACGAAAAAGAAATTCAATTTAAATAGAAATATTCTCTGGATCGAGAAATTCAGTGACATTTTGTTATAATTTTTTAACCATTGAAGATATTACAATGATATTTTTACTAAAAATATTTAAAAGATAATCATTTTTGATAAAAAAATTGTTTATTACGCTGCTCATAGATTTGGAACGAAAAGAAACAGAAACTTCGCATCGATTATTTAGAATAAGGGGAGAATGGGTTAATGGCGGTCACTTAAACAAGAATTAAAATACAATCGAAATACGAGGTAACATATTTATTTGAAGTAACTTTTTATACACTTTAGGGAATTAACTGTAAGTAAAAAATAAAACTAATAATATCCATAATGAGCTACGCGGTGAAATTAACGTTATAAGAAATAATAGATTTGACCCTTATTGCCCGCATCAGTGGACAATGGTAGACACGTTGTCGGTAATCCGTAGTCAGCGTGCCATACACAGTCATCGGGCTCATATTTCTCGGGAGAATCCCATCCGGTACGTTCTGCACGTTTCAACGTACCACATGAGATGCATTTATACCACATTCCATTGTCTCGTCCAAATTGATTGCAGATGATGCATGTATTATATTATACATATATATATATATAGGCTTTACATTTATCATATATTAAATTCTTTTATTTATTTTCCATTAATAAAATTTCATACGTTCGATACAATAGATATAGTTTTATCGTTTTATCCGGCTTAGTTTTTAACAAAACACGTCTTATTCGATGAACATAAAGTTACCAACGTTACACGTTGTCGAGGACAACTCGGTGTGATAGTGCCCACACAATTCGGTATTCGGTTTCCCCGGATAAGAATCTGCCCGCGTCTGGTCTGTTTCCATATATCTATAATATATTTCCTTCCTACTACAATTTTTATGACTACAGCTTATATTTAACACTTAGCCGACCGATCGGGTAGATCTACCATTTTGACCTGAGGATAACGTAAGTTGTACTGAGTACAACGTAATTATAATAACATGCACTAATTTTTCAAGTCTATTATTGCCCATTATTACGGTTCTTTATGTTCGGGATTTCCGAAGGTGTCTCCACCAGCCTTAAAATTATTTTATTAGAACACTTAGCCGATCGATCGGGTAGATCTACCACTTTGACCCGAGGAACGCTTCTTTCTCTATAGAGCTTCTTATTTCTATAGAGTACAACATATAATAAAATGCACACCAGCACACCAACACCACACCCATTAGAAATCGAAATGCTACCTACACCCCACTCTCACGACTTTTTCGAATATATAAGACTCCGCTCAACTTGCAAATATTAGTGTAGAAGCTACGCTCCTTGCTGCGACTCTCAACAAGTGGTGTGAAATGAAGTATAGAAAAAATATCCCTAAAAATGTCCAGAAACATGAGTGACAATTCAAGCGATGAGTTGTTTATGGACACACTATCAGACTGTTCCGAAGACATTGATCTACTGATAAGTGATTGAGAAGTTGACGACAATAATAGCACCATCGTTCCCATATATCAGACTAATCGACGAATCCTTTCGAGTGAATCGGAATATTTTTGTATTTTTACGAAAAGTTCTTTATTCAGCACGAAAACTATACCCAGGATCGGATTCTGCAGACATTTCTGAAGAAGAAACGGCCCGATAGAAGTGTCGGAACGATGTACATTTTGAGTAGGCCGAGAAAATGTTCATCGGCAACATGTACACGATGTTTTGGCGCCATGTGCTTCACTGCTCGCTTCTCTCTGTCCGACAGAGCCGAAGCTATGCGTAATCAACACCGATGGAGGGATCTAATGGGGTACCCACTTTGAGGTGTGGGACGTGCTACTTCGAATTTTTTTTAGTACTTCAATGTGCTGTCTTCTTTTACATATTTCTGTGGATAATAATCTCCAAACTGTGAAGCAAAAATTAAAAAGTACGAAAAACATGGTTTTAAGAATATAGAAGCAAGATTATTAATTTTTAAATGGAGAAATAATAAAAGAAAGGCAATGAACAAAAATATTCATTTTATTTTGAATTTGTTCGAATTACAAGTATATCATGTATACAGTTACCATTTAAATTATAGCGATAATACAATCACGAATAAATAATCATTTTCAAACCGTTAAACATAAAAATGACTTCTCGCACGTTAACTGTACATTTATCTTTACACATGATTGGAACAAATCAATGCCAACCTATTTCTTCACGCATATTTCTTCGGGCATAATTATCTTTTATATTTATCGAATAAGACGTTTGTAAATATCTGTATTCAAAAAAGAACAAAATAAGTTAATAAAAATATTTAATATATCTCTTACTCGATAATTACAGAGTTACTTGAGTCCCAAACAAATCAGACACAGCAATTGGTCACTTTACAATATCCTGCTCCGCTACTCTATTTAAATCTACAACAAATCTTTCGCAATTGCAACACTATCATTTTTTTCATAAGAATAAACATAACATGAAACTTGAAACGCGTTTTTCTCGAAACTGCATTTTCAATATCGTTGGACAAAATTGTGTAAATTCTCCGTAATTGACGCTCAGATTGTACACATAAATGGACAATTTGGGAAGAGGAGATACGATTATTCGAGCCTTGCGGTTCGTTTTTATAATTGTTAACAATCGGTAACTATAAAAACGAGCCTCAAGGCTTGAATAATCGTATCAATACAAATCAAATTATGTTTTCTATGTGAAAATTAAGGCAAGCCTGACTTTAGTTAAAGGAAACCATATATTTTGAATTTCGCATCAGAAATGCGCTTGAGTTCAGAAATGTGGATCTGATGAACAAAAACGATAATGTGGACAATTATTTGATAATTCCTTAATCAAATTACACGTTCATAATGAAGAAATAAAACTGGTAGACAAATCTAACAATGTAACGATAATATCGACTCTATCTATAAGGATTCCTCTCAGCTACAGCATTATGAAGTCAATCTTAGAAAGTCGAGATCGCTCAATAATATGCAGTTTGTATACAAAATAGTTCTTTAACAGAATTTAGAACATATTTTAGAAATGATGGTTATTCTGAAAGAATACACTCTGTAGATTATATATTGCTTAAAACAACATATTCAATCTTTATAGTCTTATTAGAAATATTCACAGTTTCTTATAGCGTGCCACGTTCCTCACGTCGCTCACCTCTAATGAAAGTGTGAATAGAACTGCACCAGCTTAGAAATACTTGCTGAACGTTTTATATTTCTCAGGAAAATACCTATGAAAGGGTTGTCTTTTGTATCAAAATTGGCACCTTGATTTAACAGAATTTTAACAATCTCCAATTGACCAGACAGAGCAGCCACGTGCAAGACTGACATGCCATTGTTGTTCTTTGCGTGAATATCGGCACCTTCATCCATCAGAATTTTAACCACCTCCAAATGGCCAAACTGAGCAGCCATGTGCAAGACCTGTCTCTTATACACATCTAGATGTGTATAAGAGACAGGTCTGGTCACTTGGAGATCGTTAAAATTCTGATAAATCAAGGTGCCAATCTTGATGCAAAAAACGACTTTGACGCAGTGTTGCACAAGGCTGCTAAATCCTGTCTCTTATACACATCTAGATGTGTATAAGAGACAGGTCTGGTCACTTGGAGATCGTTAAAATTCTGATAAATCAAGGTGCCAATCTTGATGCAAAAAACGACTTTGACGCAGTGTTGCACAAGGCTGCTAAATCCTGTCTCTTATACACATCTAGATGTGTATAAGAGACAGGTCTGGTCACTTGGAGATCGTTAAAATTCTGATAAATCAAGGTGCCAATCTTGATGCAAAAAACGACTTTGACGCAGTGTTGCACAAGGCTGCTAAATCCTGTCTCTTATACACATCTAGATGTGTATAAGAGACAGGTCTGGTCACTTGGAGATCGTTAAAATTCTGATAAATCAAGGTGCCAATCTTGATGCAAAAAACGACTTTGACGCAGTGTTGCACAAGGCTGCTAAATCCTGTCTCTTATACACATCTAGATGTGTATAAGAGACAGGTCTGGTCACTTGGAGATCGTTAAAATTCTGATAAATCAAGGTGCCAATCTTGATGCAAAAAACGACTTTGACGCAGTGTTGCACAAGGCTGCTAAATCCTGTCTCTTATACACATCTAGATGTGTATAAGAGACAGGTCTGGTCACTTGGAGATCGTTAAAATTCTGATAAATCAAGGTGCCAATCTTGATGCAAAAAACGACTTTGACGCAGTGTTGCACAAGGCTGCTAAATCCTGTCTCTTATACACATCTAGATGTGTATAAGAGACAGGTCTGGTCACTTGGAGATCGTTAAAATTCTGATAAATCAAGGTGCCAATCTTGATGCAAAAAACGACTTTGACGCAGTGTTGCACAAGGCTGCTAAATCCTGTCTCTTATACACATCTAGATGTGTATAAGAGACAGGTCTGGTCACTTGGAGATCGTTAAAATTCTGATAAATCAAGGTGCCAATCTTGATGCAAAAAACGACTTTGACGCAGTGTTGCACAAGGCTGCTAAATCCTGTCTCTTATACACATCTAGATGTGTATAAGAGACAGGATTTAGCAGCCTTGTGCAACACTGCGTCAAAGTCGTTTTTTGCATCAAGATTGGCACCTTGATTTATCAGAATTTTAACGATCTCCAAGTGACCAAACTGAGCAGCCATGTGCAAGACTGACGTGCCAATGATATTCTTTGCATGAATATCGGCACCTTCATCTATCAGAATTTTAACCACCTCCAAATGGCCAAACTGAGCAGCCATTTGCAACACTGTACCAAAGTCGTCTTTTGCATCAAGATCGGCACCTTCACCTATCAGAATTTTAACCACCTCCAAATGGCCAAACTGAGCAGCCATGTGCAAGACTGACGCGCCACTGATATTCTTTGCATGAATATCGGCACCTTCATCTATCAAAATTTTAACCATCTCCAAGTTCCCAGACGCTGCAGCCATGTGCAACACTGTGCCAAAGACGTCTTTTGCATCAAAATTGGCACCTTGACTTATCAGAATTTTAACGATGTCCAAGTGACCAGACTGAGCAGCCTGGCACAAGACTGTCATACCAAAGTTGTCTTTTGCATCAAGATCGGCACCTTCACCTATCAGAATTTTAACCACCTCCAAATAGCCAAACTGAGCAGCCATGTGCAAGACTGACGCGCCATTCTTATTCTTTGCATGAATATTGGCACCTTTATCTATCAAAATTTTAACCATCTCCAAGTTCCCAGATGCTGCAGCCATGTGCAACACTGGGCCAAAGTCGTATTTTGCACCAAGATCGGCTCCTTTATCTCTCAAAATTTTAACCAACTTGAAGTTCCCAGAATCAGCAGCCATGTTTAACACTGCGACAAAATCCTTTTCTGCATCAAAATTGGCACCATGACTTACCAGAATTTTAACCACCTCCAAATCGCCAAACAGAGCAGCCATGTGCAAGACTGACGCGCCATTCTTACTCTTTGCATGAATATCGGCACCTTTATCTATCAAACTTTTAACCATCTCCAAGTGACCAGACTGAGCTGCCATGTGCAAGACTGACTGGCCACAGAGGTCTTTTGCATCAAGATCGGCTCCTTTATCTATCAGAATTTTAACCATCTTCATCTGATCAGACCTAGCAGCCATGTACAAGACTGACTCGCCTTTCTTGTTCTTTGCATCAATATCGGCACCTTCATCTATCAGAATTTTAAACATCTCCAAATTACCTTTCTGAGCAGCAATGTGCAACGCTGATAGGTCAAAGTTGTCTTTTGCATCAATATTGTCACCTTGACTTATCAGAATTTTAACCATCTCCAAGTGCCCACACATAACAGCCGTATGCAAAACTGTCTCGTCAAGGACGTTTTTTACATCACAATTGATACCCATATCTATCAGAGTTTTAAACGTCTCCAAATGACCAGACCTAGCAGCCGCGTACAAGTCCGATTCGCCAACTCTATCTTTTGTATTAACATTGGCGCCTTTACCTATCAGGTATTTAACCATCTCCGGGTTACTAAAGATAACAGCTATGCCCAAGGCTGTTTTGCCGTAGACGTGGTCTCTAGCATTAAGAATGCTACTTGAATTCGCTGTATTATCGAACAGAATACCGGCGATTCCTACATTATTTTCTCTAGCTGCTACAAATAAAATTTTTTCTTCACAATATTTTTTATGCAGATGTATAAATGTCATTTTCTCTATTAGGAGTTTACTGTTTAAAAATATTCGTATAACTTGATAATCTGACTTTACTAAAATCTCCGTTAATAAATATCCTTGTTTTCTCGGGTTCGTTAGTTTATGCTGATATTCTACTTTCAATTTGACTATCCAATTTAGGAATACTTTAGCAGCAAAGTAGTCTCCAAAAGTTGGATGTAGAAACTCAATATTGCTACCATCAGATCTAACAATCCCAGCTGTTAGAACTATATCTCTAAATTTTTCTAATGATTGTTTTGGTGCTGTTTTAAGAATGATAGATTTAGCGAGAGCTTTATGATATTCGTCAAAAATTACTTTATCTTGATCCCGTTTTAGTTGTTCTTTAACTTTTGCTTTTTTAAAATAAATACTATATTTTCTATCAACAAAATTTTCATATACTTCCCATATGTCGCTGCCGAGATAACTGAAGTCTGGGATTTGGCCATTAACGTCTCGCGCCCAGTCTTTAAAATATCTTATGGATCCTTCTAACATTAAATAGAGCTGTAATGGTGTTCCAATGATCTTAGATACATCGTCTTTAAATACTCCGTGCATTTTCCGTAAAAATGCCGCGGTGTATACTTGCATCCTCGTATTTTCTATTATTTCATCATTATCGCCAAAGATACTTTGATACTCCTCATGACTTAAAATAAGTCTTACATGATTCTGTAAATACTTTTTAATGAATTTTCTTGTTGCTGCGTCACCAATTGGTTCAAGCTTCACAGCGAACGTTGATAATGTACTCTCTAAAGTCTGCTGATAATGGAAACGAGTAGTAATCCAAAATTTAGCTTCAGTTTTAGCTTTTAAATATTTTAATAATGAGACAATTTTATCTCTGTTCTCTTTATCTAAAACTTCATCGAATCCGTCAAATGCTATTAATAAAGGCTTCCCAAAATCCTGCTTTACTAACGCAATACCTAATAAACTTTTGGTAAAATCATCGCTTATGCTTTTATCAACTTGTGACAAAAAATCTGTTATTATTCGTATTGTTTCAGTTGGCTTATTAAAATCAATATCTCTTATCGCATCTAAGTGATCTTTTAGATTGACTGTAATCAGCCAGTGTGACTTAATCATTGACTCCTCCGTGCCAGATTCTGATGCATACTGAGACTCATATAACTTAACCAAAGTAGTGGTTTTGCCCATCCCTGGATCACCAGCGATAATTACCACTTTATCGTTCTTAATTTTAGTGATTAATGTATCCTCTCCTATTGAACGTTCAGTATTCCTGTAGTCTTTATATTTCTTCAAATTCATTAATGAACTATGAGTTTCACACCAAACAAGCTGATCTTGTTCAAACACAAGCAAATGGAACGTTTGATCGTGATTTTGTTCAACTAGTTCTTGAAAAGTTAGAGAATTTAAGAACTTTATCCTATGATCCTTGTAATTTTCTTCAAATCTTATTCGTTCTTCATTATTACTAAATCGAAGCCATTCTGCGACCTGCTCTTTGCTTGTGCCATAGATAAAAAATGTTTCAGTAAGTGTGCAACACGTTAACTGTTCTTTTACGTTCTTCTCAATAACTACTTCACTATGAAATCTGTCATCTTTCAAGTAATAGTCAGGATTATAAATTTGTTCTAGCATGAATTTAGATACATTGTCTTCATCTTTTCTATTAATCCAATAAATTTGTCTTCCCCGGTTGCTCTTACATATTTTCATAAAATTTCCTCTTCTAAAGTGATCATCGGTTACTAGTATTCTGTTATTAATAGCTCCGTTAGTATCTCGATTCAATACCGCTACTCGACTACCGAGTTTTAAATCTTCTGATTTTTTGCTGTAATCTATATCTGCATTTCGTAGGTATTCGATTAACCTGTCAACCTTGCCTGGGCCAGATATCCCACTTATAATGTAAATATCACTTGATTCTTCTGATAATAATTTATCAATGAAAGTTTTTATATTGATTTCCTCGACTAATTCAGAATATGCTCCTTCTAAGTCAGTTGTGCCTAATGGCCTACTACCTATCCTGATTACTTTATTGGTAATGAGTCCCTCTAACGTTTCTCCATCAATTATTTGTTTCGAATTTTTATCCGATTTATCTATTAAATTCTTCAAACTCATCCTTTCTCCTTGGAATATTACTTCTCGTTTCAAGATCTTCTGCTGTGACTCTTCGGTTAGGTCATTCAATGTGAACTTGCAGTCTGTTTCTTCTTCAGAACACTTGTTGTTAAACACTCTTTTGATTTCATTAAATTCCTCTGTTTTATTTCTTGATATTACGAATATGACCTTTTTATCTGATTTTTGTTCTAAAAGCGTATTTAAAATTTCTAAAACATCTGATAATTTTTCCTTAACCGAATCATAGGAGTATCTTATGCACAGCATTTTACCTGCTGCGGAATAGAGTAGATTATTGATTTCGTCTCGCTTTTCTATATAAGAATTCAATTTCAAAAAAAAACTGTCTTGTATAAAATAATTTTTATTTGTAATTATCAAGCTTTCATAAATACTTAAAATGCTTAACAACATAGTGTTCTCTGTTTTTAGAAGAAACACTTGTTCGCTTGACGTTAGAAAATGATCAATATCAATAGGATTTTCAAAATGTATCCCATCTTTTATTATATTGTTTATGTCGTTTATTTCTCCGAAATATTCGTTAATAACTTGAATATTGTTTCGTGGCTTAATTAAGTAGCTGTTATTAATGAATTCATCCCACTCTTTTCTTTGATTGGTGTAATAATCAAAAAGCGACTTCACCGCTTCAATTTTATTAAGCCATCTTCTTCCTTCATCACCATATTGTGCAAGGATATGAGGAATTCTAGCAATTAATTCAGATTGCTGATCATACTCTGGATATGTAAATACTCTTGCTAGAGTTACGAGCGGACTATCTTCGGTATTACTATTTATCGTCTTAACTTTATTTTTTGTATATTCTTTAATCGTTGCTGCTATTTCCTCAAACGATTGCCTTTTATCGTTTCTTAAATTGTCAAATGGGTTACAATCATTTTTGTATAGGACATACATCGCAAGGTGCGTTAACTCGTGTGCTAAAGTACCTAATAGTACGTTTTCTTCTTTCTTAGCCCCTATGTAAATTCTACCGTCTCTACAATAAGTAGTTCCTTTTATAGCTTTCGAAGTAGTAGGATCAATATCCTCAATGTTTTCATTATCAAAATCAAAAATTATATCAAGATAGTCTGTATATTGTACAACTTTAAGAATTATTGAAACTTCAGGTATGGAATCTAAATCCTTGTACAATTTTTCGATTAGATTGTTTGTGTTTTTAACCGGTTTTTGCGATCTTGACTTTGACATTAAATAATATATATGGCCTTGATCTTGAATAATTCGAGGAAATCTACGATCCAGCTCTGTTTTTAGCATATGCTTTTCTCCTTCAAGGAGATTACTTATACACACTTTTTCACCATCGCTTTTAAACATGATACCATTGGACTTAAGAAACGCATAAATGGCAAATCTTTTTTTTTCAATAGCTGTAAAGACTGCCGATTGACTTTGTCTATTTAAATAAAACTTTGACCCGCTGGTAGCAATCAAATCTTGAATATCTCCTAAGCGATCTTCTTCAATCAATTTATGTAAATTATCCCTTATTTCAACAAATTCTTTAAGTTCCTTCTGAGCATTGTGTTCATTTAATCTGCCTAAATTAAAGTCACAAGGAAAATTCGAATCAGCTTTTAATAATGCAAGTACAATATCATAATGCTCATTTCCCCAAGCTAAATCTATAGCACTTTGTTTAATTTTATTCTGATGATTTATATCTATTCCACATGTAATAAAAAAATTTACATTATCTTTCCTTCCACTTTCAGCAGCTATTGATAATAGTGTATTACCTTCTTCGTTAACACGTTTTAGCAATTTCAGTTGAGCTACTGTAAGAGTAATTTCTCCTAAAGGTAATTGGATATTAGTTAAACATGCTAAAATTTCAACATTTGCATACGCCGCTGCCGTCTCCAGAGCCGATTTGTTTTCACTATTTAAAAATTTCGACAACTTACCATTTGATAACTTTTGAACTTGCTCTAATTCATTTTGTTTAATCGATTCATGTAATTTCTGTCTAGTACTAACAAGAACTTTTAATTTATTTGGAATTTCATTATCTTGGTAGAAAGAATCTAAGTTAAAATCATGAGGAAATTCTGTATCAGCCTCAAGCAACATCATCATACAGTAGTAGTATTCGTATTCCCATGCTGTATCTATGGCACTTAGCTGCGTTTTCGAGTCTTGATCAGTTATATTAATTTCTCGCCGTATTAAAAAGTCTATTGTTTTTTGTTGATTAAGTGCATCGGATTCTAATTCTTCGTTTAACTTTTTTAATTGACCCTCTGTCAGAAATTTTTGACCGTCTGCTAAACCTAGTAACTTGATTAACTTTTCATCAACAGTATCGATCGGCTGCTGTATTTGCTGTTCGGAGTTTGTTCTGCATACATTACTACGCTGTTCAATTCGGTCTAAATCACTATTGCTACTATCCGCTAGATCTACTGCAGTCTTAGAATCTAGTGGAGAATAAAATCTAATTAGCTCCATTTATTAATTAACTCCTAATTAACTCCATTTTACAGGGTATCTCTCACAATTGGGAAATGAGGGGTTCCTGAAGTCATTTGAAGTAACATTTTCCTTAGCGAAAATGCAATCGGCGGCTTTGTTTACGAGTTATAAGCGGAAAACACTGACCAATGAGAGGCGAGATCAGCTGGCACGAGGTGGCTGAGCCAGCAAGCAGAACTGGGCTTCGTCCGCTCGTTGGCTCCGTCCTCATTTCCCGATTCCGAGTGACTTTTGGGACACCCTATATAGACAGTTTTCAATTTCTTTAAAAGAAAATAACTCACCGAGTCTCAGTCTCTGTTCAAACACTGGTATATGTTGTGCTACATCTTCTTTCTGTTGTCCTCCATTTTCTAATTGAGAATTTTCTGGATTCATTCCAAAAGGAATGTGTTCTTCACAGCTTCCAGTTATCTGTCTTGCAACTTTATTGGCATCCTGCATTTTATTCTCTTCTAAATCGCTCTGACGTTCTAATCTGTTAGGTACATTGTTATCTTCATACGGTGTCTTGCTTGTCATCCTCTGTCGGCATCAGTAAATATTATGATTATTTTCGCCTACGCGCTTCCTCACAAATGATGCGACCTTATAATAAGTACGGTAGGGATGCAGTAATCTGAGTGAGTGACGAGAACGGTTTTGAATTGATTTGTCGCAGAGCAAAGCGGGCGAAATTGTAATTTACATTAAAGCACATTATATGTAATGAATGAATATTTCATTTATAGAGTGTTCCAAAATTATGTTAATTCTAGGAAATGAAAGGTTCCGGAGGTCATTTGAAGTAACTTTTTCCTTATTGCAAATGCAATCCACGGCGTTGTTTCTAATATAGTTATTTGATTAATTCATATCGCCTCTTAAACGTCCATCCCATTTCAAATCCAAAAAAATAATGCAATTTAACATAAATTTTGATTAAAACAAACAGAGGAGCCAGATATGAATACATAGTTCTATTTCAATATTTGACAAAAGGACATACCTCACATGAATAATTATCGTGCAAAATATGTTGAAAAAGTAAAATTAAATGAGATGAAGAAAATTCTGAATGTTCTCTAGGTTTTACAAGCAATATCTTTGAGTAGTGCCAGGTTTTTACAGAATGGAATATTTCAGCACACTTTGCCATATATAATTTTGCAAAGGCCACTTCCTATTCCTATTTCATTCTTTCCTAATAAACGTAATTTACATTCGCTAATATTTCAGTGATTATGTATCCTGGACCCTATTTGGTGTAATATTTTTTTATGTAGAAGTCTTTTCCGACTACGTACGTGTCGAATACTGTTGATGTATCCCTCTCTGCGTTATTCTGGAATGTTATATTTCCGAGATATTTGTGCAATAGAACCATCATGAATTTCTTGCAAGGCTATGAGTCACATACTTATCTACTATGAGTCATACTAGTGTCGAATACTGTGGATGTATCGATCTTTGCGTTACTGGAATGTACTCTACAATGTACTCTTTGAAGTAACATAACCTTACATTTTTCCTTTCCTTTATATCATTTGATAATTTTTGCTCTCTTTGCTTTGACTTTTTTCATTGCTCTTTTTAAATATACACACACAGCTATAATTTTTGGGATCAAAATATTTGCACTGTAGCACTTTACAAATTAGGTATAGATACTCTACGATCAAGCGTATCGCACCGGCTCATAGATAACTATACTGTATAGGTTAGGGCGCAGTTCAGTAAAGCACCGCAGTAATGCATACACATATTTAGTAAAAAACTATGCGCCGAATACAGTACAGTGATGTCTCGCTACACTAAGCCATTCTGCCTCACGAAAATAAGCCAAGTAGCGGCAACCGGCTTAAAATTATGAAGCAGGTAAAGAAATTTAACTGGTTGACACTTCAAAGTTAAACAGTGCTGATGTGACAGTTCTAGATAAAGGGAAGAAGTGACGAGTGAGCAAGAGAACACGATATCAGACAACCATAAGCGAAACAAGTTACAAGTCACAAGAAACAAGTCAAAGTTTAAAAAAGTATCGACGTGCGCACTTTCTCCGCAATATTTTTGTATTTTTACGAAAAGTTCTTTGTTCAGCACGAAAACTCTACCCAGGATCGGATTCTGCAGACATTTCTGAAGAAGAAACGGCCCGATAGAAGTGTCGGAACGATGTACATTTTGAGTAGGCCGAGAAAATGTTCATCGGCAACATGTACACGATGTTTTGGCGCCATGTGCTTCACTGCTCGCTTCTCTCTGTCCGACAGAGCCGAAGCTATGCGTAATCAACACCGATGGAGGGATCCAATGGGATACCCACTTTGAGGTGTGGGGCGTGCTACTTCGAATTTTTTTTAGTACTTCAATGTGCTGTCTTCTTTTACATATTTCTGTGGATAATAATCTCCAAACTGTGAAGTAGAAATTAAAAAGTACGAAAAACATGGTTTTAGGAATATAGAAGCAAGATTATTAATTTTTAAATGGAGAAATAATAAAAGAAAGGCAATGAACAAAAATATTCATTTTATTTTGAATTTGTTCGAATTACAAGTATATCATGTATACAGTTA